AACAAAGAAAAAGCTCGTCGTGAGGTGTACGTACACCGCAGAGAAAGCTGAACGGCGTGTGGTTTCACTAAACTTTATTAGTTGAATTATATATACAAGTTTTTATAGATACTGACGAAGAAATATGGGCTTAGTAAACGAAATTATATTAATATTATAATAATATAAAACAAATAAAATTAAAAAAAATTAATTAAATAAAAATTAGATCGTTAGATAGGAGATATATAATATATAACCCTAAACCCTAAACCCTAAACCCTAAACTACACAAGTTTTTATAGATACTGACGAAGAAATATGGGTTTATTAAACGCAATTATATTAAAATTATATATTATTATATATAATAATATTATTTTTATCATTCATAGATACAAGCGGCACAGAAACACCAAAAAAAAAAGTAAAATTTATTTACAAATTAAACAGAAAAGTATGCAAAAAAATAAAAATAAAAATAAAAATAAAAATAAAAATAAAAATAAAAATAAAAAAAAAAATAAAAAAGTTGAATTTTGAGAAAGTTTAAATTGTGAAGAAGAAAGCTGCACATACACCCGAAAATATTCAGCTTTCTCGATATTCATGAATTTCTGCAGAAGTTGTAAATTTTTGTGTTTTTTTTGAATTAAAACCACCGATCTCATCGTCATTAAAAAATAAAAATGAAAATAAAACTAAAAAAAGAAAATATTTTACTTTTTTTTTTTTATTTTGTGAAATAGTGCACGAAAAAAGTTTCAGCTGAGTCGGCTGCGGTTTCAGGTCCAGTGGAAAGCGCTACTGGCTGACGGCGTGGTTTCGATATTTATCGATGAAAATTTTTCTTTTTTTGTATATTTCAGAGAAAATATTATTTATTTAAAACTAAAAAATAAAATAATAAAACAAAAAAACTCGGATTTCCACTCAGTATCCTTCAGGTGGGAAGCTGAACTGCTGCGGGCGTCAAAGCGATAGCTTTCTGCTGCAACTGGCTCCTAGAACAACGGCTTTCTTTACGCAAATATTTATTATAAATATAATTAAAATAAATATTTAATTAAATTATATTTAATTATGTTTATAAGAGGAACTTTTTATTGGATTATATGTGCAGTTCATCTTTCCCGTTTCGGTTCTCAACAGAGCCATGCATCTGCATCGACTTGAATTGAACTCGTTTCTTTCTCTTTTTTATTTTTATTTTTATTTTTATTTTTATTGTTTTTATATTTGCAAAAAAGAAAACTGCCGGCATGAATTGGATTTATCTTTTATTTTCTCTCTTTTTCTCCCACTGCAGCAGCAGCAGCAGCAGCAGCAGCAGCAGCAACCAACCACCTGCTGCAGCAGCAACACAGCATGTTTCTTCTTTCCTTCAAGCCAGCCGCCAGCTACCCAGAGCTGCTCGCCAGCTTGCTCGTGCTGCTGCTCGTCCCCTGGAGGCTCACCAGCTGTACCAGCGGCCGCAGCAGCGGGAGCAGCAGCAGCCGCAGCTGCAGCGCCGCCCGCAGCAAAGAATGGAGGCTAGGGTGGCCCCCAGGCCCCCTGCTCCTCCTGCTGCTGCTGCTGCTGCAGCAAGACAGCAGCAGCAACCTTTTCGACAGTTGAAAGGACGCAGGGGGGCCCCCGCAGCACTGGGGCCCCCGGAGCTGTACCCTGCGGGGGCCCCCCCCATGGGGCCCCCACCACAGGCAGCTGGTAGGCCCCTTGCTGCAGGGGTGCCGCAGCCGCTTGAAGAGCAGGAGGAGGCAGCAGCAGGAGCAGCAGCAGCAGGAGCACCAGCAGCAGCAGCAGCAGCAGCAGCAGCAGCAGCAGCGGTTGAGGCGGCGAAGCGTGAGCTTGGTGATGCAGCATTGGGTGTATCTTCTGCTGCTGCTGCTGCTGCTGCTGCTGCTGCTACGTTGTCTGCTGAAGGAGAGTTTTGTCTTCGTGGTATATTTTATTTATCTTTGCCTGACCTCAGCATACAGCGCAATATAGATTCTTCTTTTTCTTTTTTTTCTTCTCCTTTTTCTTTTTTATATTTATCTGATGTTATAAGTGCCGATGAAAACACAGAAACACACATAAAAAATATATATATTAAAATAAATAAATATGTTGCTGCTGCTCCTTTTGCTGCTGTCTTTGAGGCAGCCCCATCACCTCCATTAGCAGCAATGCATGCAGGCGTGCTGCACCTGCGTGTAGGTTGGGCCCCCCCTCCTGCTTCTTTGTTTATAAAAAAAAAAACAAAAGAAACAACAAACCCATTGGGGGCCCTTCTTGCTGCTGCTGCTGCTGCAGCAGAACGTATACAAAGACCCTTGCTGCTGCTGCAGCGGCTGCAGCAAAAGAACTTGCTGCCGTCGATCGATGAAACACCCGCTTCTGCTGCTGCTGCTGCTGCTGCTGCTGCTGCTGCTGCTGGTGCTTCTGCTGGTGCTGGTGCTGTGTCTGCAGCAGCAGCAGCAACAATAAAAACTGGGTTGCTGCTGCCTCTATTCTCAGTTCATCTGTCTCCTTTTCGTCTCCCTTTTGCCTGGTCTGGGCCCTTTGTCTTCTCTCCTTTTGCTGCTCTTACGCTGCCTTTTGCATGCACTCTATACGACCTTTTTCAACCCCCAAACCCCACACTCGATCCCAACACCGATCCCCACCTCCCCCCTAAACCACCAGCAGCAGCAGCAGCAGCAGCACCAGCAGCAGCAGCAGCAGCACCAGCAGCAGCAGCAGGAGAAGCTGCTGCTGCTGCTGCTCCTTCTGCTGCAGCGGGCGTCCACAGCAGTTCTGCTTCTCAGATAGAGAAGGATGCAGCAGCAGCAGCAGCAGCAGCAGCAGCACGAAGAGCAGCAGCAGCAGCAGCAGGACTCTCTCCTCCTCCTCCTCCTTCTCCTTCTCCTCCTTCTCCTCCTCCTGCTCCTGCTGCTGCTGCTGCTGCTGCTGCTGCTGCTGCTGCTGCTGCTGCTGCTGCTGCTGCTG